AGTAGACTCGCGATTCACTGTACCTCATAAATATAAAGTTCAGCCCTGTAGTTACCCTGTTTTGGGTAAAACGTGGATTCCATTACGCCCGAAGACGACGGCACCGGAGAAATCGAAAATAATAAAATTAAACCGTAAACCCCTTTACGGGCCAGCTCAATCTACGAGGAACATTGTCGTAGGCAAATCGGGCGAAACGCTATCCGTACATCGTATAAAAATAATGTAGTCATCTCATTAAAGCAAATTGTTCTTTTATATGTCGCCCGTGGCTGTTTCGAGGCAATATCGGATATTGTGCCCGCCGTTATCGCGCGGCAAGTACATAAGCAACGGGTAAATCGGGTATAGAGGTCGCTGTCTCGGGCTCCGTATGCAAGAACGAACACGTTCGCTACCAAGCTGTGCGCTCGCTAGCCGTATGAAAACTGGATTTATATACCCAAAGTTGAACCTCGGGCGCAATTACTCCTGGTTGCGTTAAAATCTCTTTTGCAACGGCGAAAGTTTCCGATGAGTTCTCGTTATACGTACACGTTAAATAAAATATAGATGCACTTCCTTTTTTAACTCCCATTTTATTTTGTCAACGCAAAGTCGAGTTGTCAACGAACCGCTCCAGAGATGTGATTCATATCTCGACGCTGCGGCGGTCGATTTATTTGCTGGGTAAAATCTTCCCGAGCTCGCCCAAGACTTGGCACGAGGTCCCGGAGCGTCATTATACCCGAAAAACACTTCCCACGAGCAATAATTAATCACCACAAAAGAAACGCGTCGCTGCAAAATTTATTACCGACCTGTCGCGGTCGCCCAAGTCTGGAACTTTGTTATACAGTGTTGTTACTGCTTCGAGGCCGATTAGTGGAATTACCGTTGTATAATAGCTTGAGGGATTAAGAATTTTTTGGGGTTAATCAGATGCTTTAATCGAGACGTCATTTTCGGACTTTTTATCTCAATTTTAAAACCAACACGTCAATTTTTTCTTTTCTTATACAATTATTAATATTAATCAACAGATGGCAGCACTACGTCCTACGTTGCGCTTATTAGTTACTAGATGGCAGCACTCTAGGTCTCAACACAAGACCTAGAACTAGAATCATTCGGGTTTAGCCGTCTTGGGAGACGTGCGGCTAAATCCGAATATTTCTAGTTCTCGGTCTAGTGTTAGTTCTAATGGTAGGTAGCGCTAGTTACCCTAAGATATTAGTGATATTACTATTCATGTTACATGAGCGGAACTTTAAGGTTCGGCCATGTCAATGTCAGATCACTGTTGACGCATTTTGACGATTTGAGTGGGATCATGATCGAGAATGGGTACGATTTATTTGTAATGTAATAAGCGAAACATGGCTTTCGAAACATATTCCGAATGCAGCTATCGAAATACCCGGTTATACCAATGTGAGACGAACTAGGGCCACTCGTGGGAAAGGTGTGGCATTATACATAGCGCAGCACCTGAGGTATGTCAATGTGAGTGAATGACTCTGGCATGGATGACTCCGAAAATATCATATTTATCAGAAAATGCCTTCCGGACTTATTACCATACATTGTGCACATCGTGAACTCATGACTTGGGCAATCAGTATTTCCCGATACCTGGAAGTCTGCTGTTATAATGCCCTTACCAAAAAAAAATGAATCAAAGTCTTGGAAAAATGTACGGAGGTTAAGCTGCGTACATATATGGATGAACACAATGTTGTGTCTCGGTTCCAATCCGGTTTTCGACCTAATTATAGTTGTACCACTCCCTTATTAAACGTCACTGATGATCTCTTGAGTGCTCGCGATGATAGTCAGAGTGGAGTGATTGTGCTCCTGGATTACATCAAGGCTTTTGACAAAGTCAACCACCGAATGCTGTTATCCCTTCTGCATTATGTCGTTATAGCTGAGTCAGCAGTGTCTCTTATAAACAGCTTCCTTTCTGGGCGAGTCCAGGTGGTGAGATTGAGAGAGGAATTTTCGGCTTCCTTGCACATGGAGGCTGGTGTTCCTCAGGGATTTTCGTTAGCTCCGCTATTATTTACTCTGTACACCTCTCAACTGCCCAAATGTGTTAGACACTCGTCAAACGAGTTAAACAATATTACGAATACAAAATTAAACGCAGACCTTCTAGCACTCTGGGAGTACTCCATCAAATTGGTGCTAACACTTAACGAGCGACTGGTTGTGTCTCAGGAGGCCAGAAATTTGGGAGTGGTGTTTGACTCTAATCTTCGTTTCACTACTCACGTCACTGTTTGTATAAGGAAGGCATATGCAGCTCTTTGGTGTCTCTACCGTCACTGTCGGGTACTTAACTCCACCACTAAAAGATACCTATGTGATACGTTGGTTTTATCCAACCTTGTGCATTGCAAAAAATGCTCAAATACTGCTTGTCGCCGTCAAAATTTCCTCTATGGTTTACTGGAAGCATTAAACGTATATTGAATATAAAGGAGCACTACTTTAAGAAGTGGAAGAGATCTAAACAACTATCATATTACGATGAATATGTTAGGTTGCGTCGTTTATCCAAGGATACAATAGATTCTGATTATCAGGCTTATCTCGTGAACACCGAAAATAGTATATCCCCCGATCCCAAAAATTTCTGGCGTTACGTGAATCAGAAACATGGTAATTCGCGTATTCCAGACTGTATGACCTTTGATGGCTCTCAGATCTCTGATCCCCTGGAAATAGTGCAGGCCTTCTCTGTCTTGTTTTCAATACTGGACTTACAACTATCAATAACTCTAACCAGAAAGTCAACTGTCCTGGATCCTCCTACATTACTCCATTTTCTGCCGAGGAGATAGAAATCTGTATGAAACGACTAAAGAATGACTTTACGCTGGCGACAACGGTCTCCCAAGTTTTATTATTAAAGATTATACACCTTTCCTCAGCAGACCTTTAACCTTTATATTTAATTTATGCTGAACTAAAACTTTTGCTGCAGTATGGAAAAAACTCGGATAACGCCCATATATATCTGATCATCAGCACGGATTTATGACTGGTCGTCCAACTATGACTAATTCAGTAGAGGTAACGCAGTTCATCAGCGAGCACATGGATAAACGGCAACAAGTTGATATAATTTACACAGATTTTGGCATTTCATAGATTAGATCATGGAATACTTCTTTCTAAACTCTGTAGTCTTGGATTTACCAATGATTTCGTGGATTTAATTTCATCTTACCTTTCCAATAGACTCTGCTATGTGAGCTACAACGGTTTTAATTCTGATACGTTCACTGCTGGCTCTGGTGTTCCACAGGGTTCCAACCTAGGTCAACTTCTATTCAATGTTTATCTGAATGATTTATTTCGACTTGATGGTAATGTGCTTGTTTCCGCCGATGACTTAAAGATATTCGCTCGTGTAGCATCAGTTCTTGGTCAGTACAGAATGGAATTGATCTTAATATAGCAAAATGCGTTGTCGTATCTTCCATAAGGTGTAATAACTCAATAACGTTTAATTATTTGTGTGGGAGTTGAAGCAATACGCAGAAAACGCGCTATTCGAGATCTGCATATATACTAGTTGCAATTCATAGACCATGTTAACGCTATAATAAAGTCAGCCTTTAGTGCATTGAGTTTTATCATCAGACAATGTAAAAAATTTAACAACGTAGCCGCATTAACAGTACTTTTCTATGCGTTTGTCGTAAAAATTTGGAATATGGTTCTCTGGTTTGGTATCCTTGTTATACTTCTCACAAGCTGAGAGTGCAGAAGAGGTTCTTAAAATACTTACATTTTAAAACAGTTGGTCAGTTGTTAATCAAAATTCAATTCAAAATAAATCTTTAAGAATACGTTTTCAAAAATAAAATATTTATAACTACTTGATTCATCATCATTATTCATCAGCATTCAGCATTCAGATCATTATTCTGACAGCAATAATTTCATGTTTTTTCAATTTATGTCTAACACTTTGTGTACGATTCAGTTTTTTGTTGCTTCTTATAGTATCTACAAGATGCGTATTTCGTTTTATAAGTTCTTCCAGTAAACCTTCTGATAAAGCAAAAACTGCATTGAAAGATGCGCTTCTTGTAGAGTTATGATCTTGACCACAATACACCTGTATTCTGTATGTGTATCCATTTTGTAAACATAACTTGTAAAGTTTGATCCCGAATTTTTTTTTTTATTTTTCCCATACTCTCATCAATACATAAATTTTGCGCAGTTATGTACAGAGTGTTAATTAATTGTCGTACCCGACGTCATCATTGCAAGTATGCAACCAAATACGCAAATCGTGTATTGTAATACCACTACTGTGATATTGGTTGCATACTTGCAATGGTATCTAGACCTGGTATCAGAACCCTTACATTATCAGCAAACAAACTGAATACGTGTGAAAACGAAACAAATTTGTATAATGATCGAAAGGAACCTAAACTAAAAAGGAACATAAATTAGATTGTATTAGGCCTAATGAAAATTTAACGATGTCTGGTTCTCTTACCGAATCACGCAAACAAACGATTAAACCATCTTCATAAATAGTACCGAGATTCCTTTTAATTTATTCAATATGTAGGTATAAGCTGATTTGAATCCGTTGTACATATCAGTATTCACAGACTTTGGTATTGGAGGAATAATTAAAATAAACAAAATCACCGTTGCATACATTAAAGTGGAAAGCGCAACCGAATCGTCGAAATTCGCCATAAATAATTCCGAACGAAATAAATTAGTGGTGTTCGCAAATCGAGCGGTCGCTTTTTAATTAAAAATTTCTATTTTTCTGATATATACCCGACCGGATGGCAGAGGGCGCGACGCGTAAATCGCACTGGACGCGTAGAACGGGATTAATAAAAATGCAAATTTGGCACTCGATGCCGAAGCTGAGAGAGGTCGCGGATTTTTCGATAAAATTATTTTAATCCGGGGGCGCGTAGATCACTGACGTTGATTGATACTCACACCGGTATAAATTAAAATATCCAACAATTGTTTCAATATTTTTATTTTGATTTATCCTACAATAATACTAGACTTTAACGCCGAATTACTAACACGTATTGTTTTAAATATTTTTTAAACAATTCATGTCTGAATTTTATCCAGTTTTATAAAAACAATTTGTTACATTTTACGCAAGTTTAGCAATTCCCACAACACCACAAGCTACTCTCGCTCCAGCATTACCTGTTGTTTTGCTAAGTTCGTGTCCCCCCATTCCTAAATCATCAGGATCGGCATGAACCACCAAACTTCGTCCGATAATGTTATTAGCCCCAAATAACGAAATCACGTTATCAATAATATTTACTTTGGCCATTCCAGAATCATCGGCTTCGATATTACCTAAATCACCGACATGACGGTCTGAAACGTCTGGGGCTCCATGCTCTTTTCCATAAGGATCGAAATGAGCCCCAGCGGAGATGCAACCATTCGTGTTATCGCCGAATTGATGAACGTGGAAACCGTGAAGACCTTTTCCTAAACCACTAACTTCTCCGGTGATTATCACCGGTGAACTTTCATCCTCTTGCTCGAAATAAAGGGTTCCTTTTACGATGTCACCGGTTAAAATACAAACTGCTTTTATAGGCATTTTCGTTGTAATTTGATTGATTGATATTTGTCACTTTATATCGACGTCATGAAATCATTCTCCACCACTTTTGTGATTGCCTCCATGGTTAGTTAGAAAGTAGGAATTCTATAACTTTGAATTATTATTGAAGTTATAGAGGTTGTTGGGGGTTAAGTTCACATAGATTTAAAATTCGTGTTTTACTGTTGTAACACATTTTCCTCATCGTAATAAAATGCGGCAGTATTACGAAAACTGTAATTTTATGTATTCCTGAAAGATTTGGCTGTCTTCCAACAATCCTGGTTACTCCGGTTTTTGTCGCTGACGTGCATTTTCTAGTCGTGAACCTAAAAAGTGAACTTTACACAACCTCTCTATTGGTTGTGTTAAATTGCTAAGAAGAGTTTTATAAGTTAGTTCTTTTATATACAGGGTGATTTATTCAAACTTTGACATATGATAGCTAATCCAATTACAAAAAAAAAATTTCTGAACATAAATATGTCCTATTTCAATTATTTACGAAATTATAACACTTTAAAGTTTTCTGCAACGAATTTATTAATATGTAATATGTCAGTTTGCTGTAAGGTTTAATTATTACATACAAGAAGAAACTCAAAATGTACGCTTATAGCACTGAAGAAATAATTTTCGTGTATGGTTTTTGCAATGGAAATGCTCGACAATCAGTACGAGAATATCAAAAAAGATTTCCACAGCGTCATTTGCTATATTATTCAGTTTTTAGCGATTCTTTCAGAAGACTTCGACAAACAGGTAATTCTGCTCCAGCAAAAGCTATTCGACCGCATGTAGTTTTGATAATCCTTCCATCAGCACTCGAAGAATAGCACACAACATTCTAGTAAGTCAAAATTTTGCATGGCGCGTATTCAACCGCGAAGTCCTTCATCCATATCGTAAACAGAATGTTCAAGCTATAGTTATTGCAGCAACATGCCCAAAATAATGACTTCATGTTCTCTGGACAGTCTCTTCCATCAAAACCGAGGTATATTTGAGTATCATCAGCATACATGTGGGTTTTGCAATGCTTTAGATGGGAACAGAGATTAATAGTGTAAATTAGGTATAATATTGGTCCCAAGATTGATCCTTGAGGTACACCTGAAGTAATATAACCTCTCTTCGACAAAACACCCTAAAATTTAACAATTTCCGAACGATGTAAAAAATAGTTTTTGAAAAAATCGATAGCCAACGGGGAGACACCAACATAATGAAACAGCAAGTAAAATCGTATGATGAGAGCTGTAACATTTCCCTCATCCAATCCACGGAAGATATCAAGGATGAAGCTGGAGGAAGATAGCTGTAACCAGGACGAAAACCGACTGAGTAGATGGAAGTAAATTAAAAGTATTAAGATGATCCCAAATCCTTTCTACTACCTTAGAGCCAACATTTAAGATGCTAATAAGCCGAAGATCATTTAGTCCTGAGGGGTTGCTGCATTTAGGTATGGGAGACACCAAGGCAGTCTTCCATTGATCAGGAAAGACACTCAGCTCCAGACAAAGATTGACAATATGGCATTATTATTATTATTGCTGCCGGGTTGAGGAGGGCGGCCCCTCTCGTTACCGCGACCTATAAGATCTATTGTAACTTTAGCCCTCCAAAGGTTTAGGGCAAATGTAGGTCCTTAATGAACCTTAGTATTGTCCTGAGGTCTTGAATCTTTATGTCGGTAGGTAACAGGGGAGTTTTACCGAAGACGTTGTGCCTTAGACGTCCTCTGGCGACGCAATTGCACAGTATATGTTCAGCAGTTTCTGACTCGTCGTTGCATAGTCGACAAGTTTGATCCTCAGCTTGTCCAATGTGGAAGAGGTGGTATTTTAGGGGCACATGGCCTGTTAGGTAGCCTGAGAGCGTTCTTAGATCCCCTTTGCTGAGGCATAAAACCTTTTTGGTTTTGTTTTGCGACGGAATTATCATACTCTTCGCTTGTCTGTGACCTGGAAGTTCTTTCCAGCGTAAGGCTATCTTTGAAGCCTCCCAGTTGTTGATTATTTGTTTTAGGTGGCTTTTTTGTAGTCCACATCCAGGTTGGGGTCCAATGAAAGGCGTGTTTGCTGCCTCTTTGGCCAGCTTGTCGGCCTTCTCATTGCCCTCAATGTTGCTGTGACCTGGAACCCACCATAGGGTAACATCATTGCCCCTAGCGAGTACTATCAGGTTGTTGGTGCACTCTCTGATCAGTGCGCAGCCACACGTGTAGGCCTGAATTGCCTTTAAGGCGGCCCGACTGTCTGTGAAAATGTTTATGGATGCACCTTTTTGTCCCTTCTGTAGGTTCAAAGCGGTGCAGAAGTTTATAGCAAGAACTTCTGCTTGGAAAATTGTTAATTCCGAGCTGAGGGGCAATTTGATGTGGCTATTTGGTCCACTGATGTCCATGCGTACTCCCGATCTTACTGTCTTTGAAGCATCGGTGTACCAGGCTAGGGCTCCTCTTTTTAGTTGAGGCCCTCCTTTCGCCCAATCATCCCTGCTGCTAAATATGACCTTATACGGTTGGTTGAAATTGTATTCCGTCGGTGTAAGGTCCGTTTTATTTTCAATCAGGTGATTGACAATATGGCATAAATACAGAACAATCACAGGGCAACACAGAAGTAACATCCTTACGCTAATGCCATCACTTCCGAGGCTAAGGAAAAGGATAAGGTAGTACAGATCTAAGGCAGAATATTAGAGTTGTAGAATTTAATAAGGTCTGCATCACCAGAGTTAATTTGAGAGGCTAAAAAAGAATTCTTAATCAAATCAGCATCATCAATGTTGCTAGGAATACTGCCAGTCCTATTTTTGCCAATGCCTAAAGACCGAAAGGCACCCCACAATTTCCTGGAATCACCACCCCTGAATATGCATTATTGGTGAAATTACGCAGTTCTTTATAATAGGTAAAATGAGAGGGTAGTGTGGAAGCCTTAAATGACTTATAGGCTTTATCCCTCAGCTTCATAAGCAGCCTAATATTGTCAGTAACCCAAGGGCGATAATTCTTACGTAAAACGACAGTCCTGAAAGGTGCATATATATTGAAAAGATTAATAATATGATAATTAATGAAATCAACCTTATCACCAATACTGGACATATGCAAAAATTCCCACCAAGGCACAGCACCCAGATGGTCCAGAAAAGCTTCCGAGTTGAAATCCTTAAAATCTCTATAAATAATACTCTTAACAGGATTTGGACGTATTTTAAAAGATGTGACAAAATCAAGTAAATGATCAGCAATATTGTGAATATCAGCGACATTCATCAATTATGGGGTCAAATGAAACAAATTAACACACGAGAACAGTTATTAAACAGAATACTGAAATAAGAAATCAACCAGACATTTTATTTCGGCTGAAGAGCTCTTTAATTCGTCGTTGTGAATCATGTATTTTAGCAGAAGGAGGCTATTTTGAACAATATTTGTAATATTTATGTGTTTCAAAAAATGCAGCAGTTAATTATGATATATTCATTAACATTCCTTTTTTGGTAATTCTATCATATATGTATCAAAATTTGATAGTGAACTAATAAAACACCCTGTATTTTCTAAATTGGTTATAATGCAGAACATTATTTTTACATTGTTTGATTTTTTTAGTTAATAACTTTTAATTTAGAAAGCACCGATGACAAATCGAGCAATTTGGTGATCGAAATTACGGTTCGAATGCGGACAGGTTCCAATAGAAAGCCAGACCGGCAATTAAGTTGATTTGTGGTCGCCGATATTACGTCTTGAACTTCCGTTAGGTACAGAGTCCGAATCTTACTCTCGACCCCGGTTTTGTAAATCCCTTTAATGCTACTGGGGGCAAACATTTTTAGGGCAAATGCGAAATCGATGGTTAATCTGATCGAGGGGCAAAGTTCGTAACCGCCCATTAGTTAATATCGTCCGGGTCGAGACAACTTGGGCGTACTTTAGACCAAGTTCGGTGCTACAATTTCGGACGGGCACTTTATCTCGGTCTTAAATGGGACCCAATTTAGATTGAATTAAGGAAGCGATATTATGTTTTTCCCAGTTTCAATGTAATATAACGACACGGAGTCGTTCAATTCCACGACTAGTGTCATAATGAGCGAAACTTGTAATTACACAAGTTTTAATCGATGTGGAAGACTTGAAGGGTCTTTATGAAAAATGTCTTTAATGGAGTTCCACTTGTGATAAATAAATTAGAACCGTTTAAGTTGGACCATATATTACAACAAAAGCGTAATTTTCTTTGCCAAGTTTCGAAGGTACGCCGATCCTAATAAAGTACAGGAAGTTGTTTTCGAGGAAAAGCGGACTCGTCCTTTTTGCTACGGCATAAATGCAAATAGGGCTCGGTCCCCGGCGTCTTACCGGCGCACAAAGATTCCGAAAACGTTGTCGATGTATAAATTTGCATAAGTGCATCCGGGGGAGCGAAACTTGGAGTTGCTCCAAACTTTGGCTGCATTTAATTGTCGCCCGCGGCATTGGCTGCTTGGTTTGCACGGAAATCTGGTGTCTAATAACTTACCGGAGGCACATTCCGCTTTCCTTGAAGGGTTTGACCCTCAGCTGTGAAATACTTAGGGGGGATAGTTGACGACAAGAATTTATTGGGTCTATTCGGTTAATTAAAGTGGTGAGGTAAAATTTGCAGCGATGCATTTTAGCTTAAACAATCCATCTATTGTTTACTAATCTATTTGTAAGCACTCCTTTGTTGTTAACCGCGGATGTTGATGGTATTAACAGTCCACAAACAATAGTTTAATTTAGTATGTATTTTGAATTCAAAACCAAGCTACATTTCATAATGTTATTATGGCGCAAACACGTCTATCAGTATTTTTCAAAAAATAACATTGACAGATTTTGTATTACAAAGCTTTCAATTACGGTGAATGAATCGGCAACGAAAACATATTTCAAAATATGTTCTCAGTTATAAATAAACAGCACATCGTCGTTTTTATCCCGATTAAAACTGCAACAGAATGCGCAACAAAAAACGACCGAATCTAAAATGTTGATATTTTATGCGCTACCGCGTGTTTTGTTTGTTACACGAAATATACGACAACAAAAAGGGAAATACAATCAATTCAACGTTTATTGAAAAAATATTCGAAACATACTACAATAATAAAATAAATCTGGTAAATAAAAATAAATCTAGAATGAGCTATTAAAACCCTATTTAGTAGTTCCATTTAGAAACCGCCTCGTAATTAGTAGTTAAACCGCTCAGCTCGATCCTATAGAACAAACACAAACCCTAAAATTAAACTGTATCCCATATTTGCAGGGTGGTTTCTAGACAGAAACGGAAAGACTCAAGGGGAATAAACCGGACTCGAAACGTTTCCGCACGTTAAAAATAATCCTTTTGACGTAGAGCAAACACGTCCTATTCGGGTACACGTCTACCTCAAAAACTCCACGACGAAACGGACGAGAAAATATTTAATGCTTTATTCTGAAACGCCTGGATTTCCAATTATATAAACGCTTCTAACCGACGTGTCCGTTCTTTGAAATTGTGATAAAACGGGTATTTACTGAATCCTAAGTTTGTGGTGTTTTGTTTTTTGTTCAAATTAAAGTTTTAAAAAACTTATTGACAGTTATTCTCAAGTATATTTCTTATTCCAAAATTGTTCAGAAAGTTGCACTATCCTTAGAACTAACACTAGACTTAGAAACTTTGGTTAGAAACTATTAGTTCTAATTTTAGTGGAAGCCTTACTTGTTCAAAAAATGTTTCGGAATTACCTTATGCATGGGTGTACCCCAGAAGTCATTTTCAATTAATTATCGTACCCGACATCATCATTGCAAGTATGCAACCAACATCACAATATACGCGATTTGTAGCGTATACTGTGATATTGGTTGCATACTTGCAATGATGACGTCGGATACGATAATTAATTAACACATTGTACATTGATAATATTATTAGCCCCAAATAACGAAATTACGTTATCAATAATATTTACTTTGGTCATTCCAGAATCATTGGCTTCGATATTACCTAAATCACCCACATGACGACCTGAAACGTCTGGGGTTTTATGCTTTTAGCCGTCTTGAGAGATTTGCGGCTAATCCGAATGTTTCTAGTTCTTGGTCTAGTGTTAGTTCTAGCTTTACATTAGCACTCTCACTAGAACTAACACAAGACCTACATCTAGAATCATTCGGGTTTAGCCGTCTTGAGAGACGTGCGGCTAAATCCGAATGTTTCTAGTTCTAGGTCTAGTGTTAGTTCTAGTTTTACACCAGCACTGTCACTAGAACTAACACAAGACCTAGAGATAAAATCATTCGGGTTTAGCCGTCTTGAGAGACTTGCGGCTAAACCCGAATGTTTCTAGTTCTTGGTCTACTGTTAGTTCTAGTTTTATATTAGCACTCTCACTAGAACTAACACAAAACCTAGAACTAGAATCATTCGGGTTTAGCCGTCTTGAGAGACGTGCGGCTAAATCCGAATGTTTCTAGTTCTAGGTCTAGTGTTAGTTCTAGTTTTACACCAGCACTCTCACTGGAACAAACACAAGATCTAGAACTAGAATCATTCGACTTTAGCCGTCGACGGGACGCAAGCGGAAAAATTTTTAATGTTTTATTCTGAAACGCCTGGATTTCCAATTATATAAACGCTACTAAAGGTAGGAACACACTATGCTCACGTCACGTGAGCTTTCGTGCTATCATATAAGCATGATATCACGTGATATGAAGCGCAGGAGACCCATTTTTGTTACACACATTTCGTACTCATTTCATACACACTGTTTAAGATCGCATTGTTGTGAAACGATTTACAATGTATTTGATGGAGTACAGTAGCAATTCTTCAAATTCCTCAGAATGGGAAGAAGATTTAGAAAATGTGGCTACATGTCTAGTTATTAGTGAAAGTAAAAAGAAAAAAAATCATACTAGGTACATGAAATTAACAAAAAACGAAATAATTTCGGTCAATATCTTCGATTAGTAAAAGAATTGGAAGAACATTCGAAAAAGTTTCATATGTACTTTAGAATGTTTAAAGAACAATTTGAATTTGTACATGATAATATTAAAAATAAAATACAAAAGAAAAGTACACAGTTTAGAGTACACGGAAAAGACTAGTAGTTTGATTAAGGTAAGTACTGACACCTCTACATTCACATTTTATTAAAAAATAAAGAAAATTGGAAAAAAGGGGCAGAATGATCTAATATTTATTTGGTTATTTCTTTCCATCTCAAATTTAATGTAATTGCAATAAAACATGTCTGTATTTATAGATGGATTCTTATTCTTATTTATATTACATTAGGTTGCTCCTGAAGATGATTAAATGTATTGATCGAAACCGGTAGAGCTAAAATTAAAAGAATCCATCTATAAATACACACATGTTTTATTGCAATTACATTAGAATGATCTAAGTTGTTGTGGAATATTCCAAATTGCATATAGACGGAAAACATATAAATATTAGATGTCCAATAAATGGAGGTTCTTCGTTTTACAATTACAAAGGAAGTCATTCTCTTGTGCTATTAGCCCTTGTTGATGGTAACATATTTCCGAAATAGTGATGGTAACATATTTTCGCATTCGATGATAGGAAAAAAGTTAGAAAATGCTCGTCTTTTAGAAAATGGGGAAGCACAGCCATACGTTATCGTATAGCAAGCACTACCTTATAAATAATGAGCCTAATAAAATATTTAATTATAGTTTGTCTCGAGCACGCAGAGTGGTAGAAAATTTGTTTGGAATATTAGCTGCTCGTTGGAGAGTATTTCAAAAATCTTTAAAAGTACAACCAACAATGGTAGACAAAATTGTACTAGCATCTTGTTCACTGTATAAAATGCTCAGATGCTAAACGTGATCCAAACAAGACACCGTTGGAATCACAGTCAGAGCCACAACTAACCGACTAACTACATTATTACGAAATGTAGATAATTTAAGACGAAATGGTATCCAAAGTGCATTCCAAGTACGAGAGATTTTTAAGGAATATTTCAATTCCCGAACAGGAAGCGTCCACTGGCAAACAGATATAGTTCGTAGAGGAAGAATTGTAAATGAAACAAAAACTAAAAAAAAAATAGTTTCTGTAGTCATGGAACCGAATATTGTACAACACATCATGTTGTCTTACTTTTTCTATTAGTTTTTCTTCCATTTTCATTTCTATTATAACCTCAATTTAAAACCTTCTTGCATTCGCACGTGAGCTACGATGTGCGGATTTCAAGATAATACTACTACAGGCTTTTTGACAATTATTTCCAAGAATATTTCTTATTCCAAAATTGTTCAGAAAGTTGCACTATCACTAGAACTAACACTAGACTTAAAAACTTTCGTGCATCTTTGCGTTTCGAATGCTATGTTGCAACTTTTTTCAGAAACAAGTTCTAAGTTACTAGTGACACTGCTACTATTAGTTCTAGTTTTAGTGAAAGCTTGTTCAAAAATTGTTCCGGAATTACCTTATGCATGGGTGTACCCCAGAAGTCATTGATAATATTATTAGCCCCAAATAACGAAATCACATTATCAATAATATTTACTTTGACCATTCCAGAATCATCGGCTTCGATATTACCTAAATCACCCACATGACGATCTGAAACGTCTGGGGTTCTATGCTTTTAGCCGTCTTGAGAGATTTGCGGCTAATCCGAATGTTTCTAGCTCTTGGTCTAGTGTTAGTTCTAGCTTTACATTAGCACTCTCACTAGAACTAACACAAGACCTAGAACTAGAATCATTCGGGTTTAGCCGTCTTGAGAGACTTGCGGCTAAATCCGAATGTTTCTAGTTCTTGGTCTAGTGTTAGTTCTAGTTTTATATTACTAGAATCACTAGAATTATTCGGGTTTAGCCGTCGACGGGACTCAAGCGAAAAAATTCTTTGAAATTGTAATAAAACGGGTATTGAATCCTAAGAGGATTTTAAAGTTTGTTGTGTTTTGTTTTTTGCTCAAATTAAAGTTTTGAAAAGCTTTTTGACAATTATTTCCAAGTATATTTCTTATTCCAAAATTGTTCAGAAAGTTGCACCATCACTAGAACTAACACTAGACTTAGAAACTTTCGTGCATCTTTGCGTTTCAAATGCTATGTTGCAACCTTCTTCAGAAACAAATTCGAAATGAAAAAGTATTTGACATTTCGTTGCAATGCAACTTTTTTTCAGAAACAAGTTCTAAGTTACTAGTGACACTGCTACTATTAGTTCTAATTTTTGTGAAAGCTTGTTCAAAAATTGTTCCGGAATTACCTTATGCATGGGTGTACCCCAGAAGTCATTGAGGAATACATTGGCAAGTGGTGTATGGGGTCTAAGATCCCTGTTATCTTTGATGGCGCTTATATCATCAAAAACGAAACCACAATAGCAGCTGTTGTGGTAGCAGAAGACGCACGTGAGCGCGACGACGGCGCCAAGAGCGTGCTTCAGGGCCATACCACCGGCTCACTCTAGTGTCGATAACTTCACCGTTGGCGCGGTCATACAGGAGTCCAAGTAAGTCTTCGAGAGGAGCGGTTATGACCCGCTTTTATACTTTCGTCTCACTCTCTCTCTTTTTAACCGTTTACCGAACTCAATCAATATTGTATGTGGACGCGTCCGTTGGGTCCATTTCGACTGTACACGAGGTGGCCATTTGACAGGTCATAGTTTCTCGGCTCGGTTTTTTTTTTGGAATGGTTTAGTGAAACAGATCTGACGCGCACGCGAGTCGATCTTGTACTGGTTCTTCTGAACCAGGTTTGCAGCTGTATAACCCACTGTTGGGGCCACTGCGACTGTGCGTCACGTGACCTTCTGGCGGTCGTCGAAATCGCGCACGCTCTGAATGCGCGATCTGGCAACAGGGAATGAACTTCGTTGGCCCCTTCCAAATTGTTGATAATGCCCTTAAAGTTCTAAAGGCGGCTGCTGCGATTGTTACCGAGTGTGCTCGACTTTGAATGGGGGCCACTACCACCCTTTAATGAGTTAATTAAAAAATAATAATAATAATACATTTTATTTATTTTAATATTCATATTTTATTTATTTAACAAAATAATTTTATTATTTTAATTTTTTTTAATAATCCAATACCCATGGGTAACTACTCCTTTTGTTTGTTACGGTTTAATAACATATGAGCTTTGTTTATATTTATTCAACCGACTCATATCGTAGCGCAAATAATATTGTATATTATTTATTACATTCTGTTATTCGATTTCACCAATTAAATGTTTACCGCTCTTGAATTTAATTAAAATTTGCCTTGATAACATCACGTTTATTTTAACAGGAAGAACAATTAAAATTTCCTTTTGTCAGCCATACATTAATTTAAAAATAATTAAACCTAATTAATTCATCTTTATATTTTTGTTTAATTATAAATCAATTATGAATAAATTAGGAATTTTAGTAATTAATGTATATATCTATAATATTCACATATCATTTATTACATTCAATAGTTTATTTTTATTAATTAACATCAATCGCACGAATTGCATGAATTCTATATTATATTTCGATATTATATTTGGTAATAACAAATTTTGGACTCTCTCAATTTTCAAATCGTTTCGTATTAATTGTGTTAAATAATCTAGAGGAAAATCTTTTGACAAGTACCAAGTTTGGATCGAAACACAATGCACACAATGAGTAAACATAGCTTCTCAAAACTAATTCAAAAGCGTTATAATGGTACTGCAAGACTGATTACGTTTGAATAATTTTCCTAAACATGTGCAAGCAGGTCTTAGGTTGCTTGGTAAATCATCAGTGTGTGATTTTAAAGCTTTGACAATTTGAAAACGATTTCGGCTCAAATCGCCGAGGTTGCTTGCGCAGGAGGTGCTGGTTTTGATGTAATAACATGAAATCATCAGCGTTGGATGATAGATTCTAGCACCTCGCCCGCAAACGACCTTGGAAGCCCGCTTATAAGAGACTTTGTATCTTTACCAAAATATATAAGACACGATTTCGTCCCAAATCGCCGAGGTCGCTGGCGGGAGAGGCGCTAGTTTTGATGTAATAACATGAAATCGTCAGGGAAGAGAGATAGAGCAGTTCGCGGAAAGTAATAAGGTCGGGGCGCACGTGAGGGCGATGGCAAAAAGAACGAACAGGGTGATGGAACAGGTTTGGGGATATGGGGAAAGAGCTTTTGGGAAGGACGTGGAAAAAAGAAAGGTTATGTTTGATGGCTTGGTAAGGAGCACAATGATGCACGGCGCAGAAGTATGGGGTTTGAGGGACCAAGGATTGCTGGAGAATATACAAACACGGTACTGGAGATGGATACTAGGGTTGGCAAGGGAGACTCCAGGGTATATAGTGAGGGAGGAGGTTAAGGTAGATGCAGTGAGGGTGGAGGCTGGGAGAAGAGCAGTGAAGGGACGATAGTGAGGAAAGGATAGAAGCAAGACCGTATTGCAGGATGTTGGGAGAGTGCTGGAGGGAAATTAAGGAGAGGAGGCTGATCTATGGGCAAGCATCTAAGAGACAGGGAAAAATAAAGAAAAGTGGGATCGAAAACAGAAGACTGGAAAGAGGTGAAATGTGGAGAGAACTGAGAGACAGGGATAGTGACATACAGAGGCAGGAAAGAAGGTCACAGGTACGAGAAGGGAGAGATAATGAAAGGTATGGGGAGATAGTGACAGAGAAACTGCCAAAGTATTTGTTGATGGAGGGGGATGATGAAGGGAAGAGATTGGTGGCCAGATTCCGGTGTGGCAATAAGGAGAGGGGGAATAGGTACTGGGCGGACGATGTGGAGAGGTGGTGTAGGCTATGAGGAGAGGATTGGGAGACGCTGGAACACATGCTGAGAGTGTAGCGAGCTAAGGGAGGAGGCAACGGACAGGAAGCAGAGTTTGGGAGAGGGGGGGCCAGGGCAAAAGACGGAAAGGGGGGAGGAAGGTAGAGGGTCTGGAGGTATATACAGGGTATATACAGCGCGCCGCGAAGTGATGGGGAAGAAAGTAGCCAACTTGTCAAGACCTGCATAATTTGCCATTTAATTTACAATGGATCGTTGGACGAGTGACCAGCGCGGTTACGCAGTTAAAGCCTATTTTCAAAACGGTGAGATTTCGGCAAATGGGCAAATCATCAGTCCATATTTTATTGAAAATGAGGCTGAAAATGCCGTTACCGTTAATTCTGTACGATACGTTGCAATGATTCAGAATTATCTCACACCACAACTTGAAGGTCTTCCAGGGAATGAAGACACACGTTTTCAACAAGTCACGCTACAAGAATTTCAATGAATGCTGTAATTGCTTTGAAACGGCGATATCAGTTGGCCCCCTTGGTCTCCCGACCTAACCCCCTGCGACTTCTTTCTTGCAGAGCTTCCTTATGCAAAACTTTCAGACACGACGCCAAGAATGCATAAATTGTAACGAAGGACATTTAGCGGATGTAGTATTCAAAAAATAATTTTTTTGACTTTGTAAACCAAATGGCAAATCATGCTGATCTTGGCAAGTCGGCTACTTTCTTCCCCATCACTTCGCGGCGCACTGCAAACTGTACCTTAAATCTTTCCTTTTCACTGCCGGACCTGTATATATACATATATTATTATACAGTGTGTCCCAGGATGGATGTTACAAGAGGTATAATGACTTAAAAATTTTTGAAATTTATTTTAATGCTAAGGAATTAAGCCCTGCCTGGTGTGAAGAGAATTTTAAGAATATTTTCATATTTTAAAAACAAAGGCGGCCTTGACATTGAATCGAAAACTATTTTTAGTTTAGGTAAAGTAATCTTTTTGTTCATGATATGGAAAAATTTTATTAAGAAAAGTTGTTGAAAATGAGAAATTATGTTCCTATACAAAATTTTAGAAGGATCTATCTACGTTGGTTGAACCATCACATTTTAGTTTAAATAACATAAATATTCTATAGTAATTGAAATGTGAACTAAAACTGAGGGATAATATAATTTCTTTGTCAATATTTGCGACTACTTAAGTCATTTTTTTTTCCATGGCAATTTCATTGTTTTTTTTTTCTTCACTCTGACCTAATCTAAAATATGGTGGTTTAATCAATGTAGGTAGATCTTTCTGAAATTGTGCATAGTGCCATAATTTCTCATTCTGAACAACTTTTCTTAATGATATTTTGCTGTATCATGAACAAAAAGCTTACTTTACCTAAACTCAAAATAGTTTTCGCTTCACTATCAAGACCGAGTTGATTTTCAAAATATGAAAATATACTTAAAATTCTCTCCACACCAAGCAGGGCTTAATTACTCAGCCTTAAAATAAAATTCAAAATTTTTTAAGTTATTATACCTCTTGTAACATCTATCCTGGGACACACTGTATATTGTATTATATTAGGAAAGGGAAAATTATAAATATAAAAAAACAATAATATGATGATTCTAGCGCCTCGCTTACAAATGACCTTGGCGGTTTGAGAGTAAAAGTCTTCTTATAAGATATTGTATATCTTTACCAAGATATATAAAGAACGATTTCGGCTCAAATCGCCGAGGTTGTTTCCGGACAAGGTGCTGGTTTTTATATACCAAAACGTATTAGTTATGTCAGGGTCGAGTGCAAAAATATCATGTTTCACGCCTGCTTAAGCTGAAATCGTTTTTGGGCGAAGTATTGCAATACTTTTGTATTCTTATGGTATCCACTGTAGCGCCTCGGCCACAAGCGACCTCGGCTTAATTATTAAGTCAGGCATTCTTGACAACTATTAAGGTTTTTTTATCAATTTGATATCAACATAACGCCTCGCCCGCAAGCGACCTCGGCTTAATTAATCTTGACATCATTGAAAACTGGTTAGCTTTTATATCTATATAATTTTGATGTAGCGCCTCGCCCGCAAGCGACCTCGGCTTAATTATTAAGTCAGACATTCTTAACAACCTATAGGTTTTTTGTCAATTTGATTACAATATAGTGCCTCGCCCGTTAGTAACCTCGACTTAATTAATCTTGACATAATTGAAAGCTGGTTAGCTTTTATACGGATATGGTATTGATGTAGCGCCTCGCCCGCAAGCGACCTCGACTTAATTATTAAGTCAGACATCCTTGGCAACTATTAAGGTTTTTAATCAATTTGATGTCAATACAGCGCCTCGCCTGCAAGCGACTTCAGCTTAATTAATCTTGTCATCATTGAAAACTGGTTAGCTTTTATATCTATATAATGTTAATGTAGCGCCTCGCCCGCAAGCGACCTCGGCTTAATTCTTAAGTCAAGCATTCTTAATAACTATTAAGGTTTTTTTATCAATTTGATATCAATGTAGTGCCTCGCCCGCAAGTAACCTTGACTTAATTAATCTTGACATCATTGAAAGCTGGTTAGCTTTTATACGGACATGGTATGTAGCGCCTCGCCCGCAAATGAACCTCGGCTTAATTATTAAGTCAGGCATTCTTGACAACTATTAAGCTTTTAATCAATTTGATATTAATATAACGCCTCGCCCGCAAGCGACCTCGGCTTAATTAATCTTGACATCATTGAAAGCTGGTTAGCTTTTATATGGCTATGGTATTGATGTCGTAGGAGTGTAGCTTTATGCCTGATTAAAGGTTGCAAAATGACTTCAGACATCCATGATAGCTACGCGGAGTTAGGGAGTCATAAAGAGTCAATGAGGTTAGGCGTTGGATAACAATATTCCTTTAGCAGTTCCTTAACACCATCTATAATAATCTAGGCTTCAAATATTACAAAA